AATGCCACCTGCTAGCAAAAAAGGCCACCAGAAATGTGGCTATCTCAGCCTGGCCACTGGGTGGGGGGAATGTTTCAAGGCCTACTCGCTCCTGAGTTTTGGAGTTACACACACACACACACACACACACACACACACACACACACACACACACACGCACACTCTTCTCATGGGCCAGGATGTTCCAAGCTATTTCACTACATTAAAATTAAATGTAGCAAAAGGAACTATAAAAACTTTAAAAAGACAAACCACAAACTGGGAAAAAATTTAACTTGTAAAGAATCAGTGTCCAGAATACGTAATTTCCTACACATTAAACAAGAGAGAGAAGCCACCCCAAAGAACAGGATGGCGGCTACGTCTGGAGCGGGTGAGGGCCTGGGTACGGTCCCCACGGAGTGGGACCTTGGGGCTTCCGTTCTAGTCGTAACCTTTATTTCTTCAGGTGTGTTGTAGACGCGTGTTTTCTATCTTTCCTGTATTATTTCCTGAAATATTTCATAATACACTCTGATGAGTAGAAAACCCACAAATGTTTCATTTGGCGCTCCAAAGTTACAGGATAGTTTTAGGTGTCTACTTTTCAATGGGAAAGATGTAGATCCCGATAATGCTAATGGAAATTCTGTCCTATACACTGAAATGATGACCAGATTTGTCCGGCGAGGCCCTGTGGGCCTCGGCCTGGCACTCATAACCCGTTCTGGAAGGTCCGCCCGGTGGTGGGCTGAAACTCGCACCAGGCAGTGAAGATGGGCCTTCGCGTGTCTCCCACACCAAGCGCTGGAGACTCCAACTCCCTAACTGCTAAGTCACTACCAAAGAAGGGCAGGTGGCCGGGTGTTGCCGCTGAGGAAGAGCCTGGTGGTTGGAATCCCACTGTCCTCACGATGAAGAGGTAAGAGGTGTCAGTTTGCTGGGTCTTCCATAAACAAAGTGCCACTAACTGGGTGGTGGCTTCAGACAACAGAGATTCATGGAGTCACAGTTCTGGTGTCCTATGCTAAGTCCCTCTGAGACGGGTAGAATCCTTCCTTGCCCCTTCCCAGCTTCTGGTGGTGGCCTTGGTCTGCAGCTGCACCAGTCCCATCTCTGTCTCCGGCTTCGCGAGGCATCTCCTTGTGTGTCTTCTCATGGCCTTCCTTCTCTGTGTGTCTCTGCGTCTGGATTTCTCGTTTTTGTAAGGACACCGTCATACTGGATCAGGGCCCGCCCTACCGACCTCACTCTAACTCGATCGCCTCTGCAAAGCCCTTATCTCTGAGTACGGTCACACTCTGGGTCCTGCGTAGGGTGTCCGTATCTCTTATTTTTGGGAAACACGATTCAACCCATGACGTATGTCAGAACCACAGCAAATGGGAGACTACAGTGATTTTACTTATTTTTAAAGGACATTCTTTCCCCGCCCCCCCGCTTTATGGAGATGTAACTGACATGTAACTGTGTCAGTTTAAAGTGTACAACATAACGAATTGATACACGCATACACAGGGAGGTCACCAGCACCGTTAGGGTAGTTAACGGGGTCATCGCCTCACATAGGTCCGCTTTTTGTGTGCAAAGAACTTTTACGCTTTACTCCCCAGCGATTTCCAGATACATAATACAATGCTGGTAACCACAGCGCCGCGTTGTACATTCCACTAGGACGTATGTATCACAACTGCAAGTTTTCGCCCTTTGACCTTCTCACCCACTGTCACCCTAGGCAACCACCAGTCTACCCTCTGTCTCTCCTGATGCCAACGTGTTAACTTCCTCTGGCGGTTTGGCAGTTCCCTTTTCCCCTCCGCCCTCCCTTGCCGCTTTCCTGCGTGCCCCGATGATGTCCCGTCGCGGGGTGTTCGATCCCCTGCTTTCTCTTGTGACGCTATCCTAGGTTTTCGCTTTGTGGTGACCGCGAGGCTAACGTAAAACTCCATACAGATATAACCATCGATTTCATGCTGGTCGTCACTTAACTTCGATTGCATACAGAAACTCTAGCCTTTTACTCCCTCCCCTTGATGTGTCTGATGTCATGACTCACCTCTTTTTATATGGCGTATCCATCAATAATTCAGTTATTTTTAACTCTTATCCTTTCGCCTTTCACTAGAGTTAGGTGGCTGACACATCGCCATTACGGCACCCGTGTTCTCAGTCCGACCACATGTTTTACCACTGTATATTTTCACGTCGCTAGTTAGCATTCCTTCATTTCAGCTCGAAGATTTCCTTTTGGCATTTCTTACAGGGCAAGTGTGATGTGCTCCCTCGGTTTCCGTTTGTTTGGGAAAGTCTTTATTTCTCCTGCGTTTCTTGGCTGGCATTTTTTTTTCCCCTCAGCACTTGGAGTATTTCCCCGCCCCCCACTCTCTCCTGGCCTGTGAGGTTTCTGCTGAGAAATCTGCTGATTGCTTTATGGGGCTAGTTTGTAAGGTATAAGTTTCTCTTGCTGCTTTTAAGATTCTCTATTTGTCTTTGATTTTTGACAGTTATATTTTAATGTGTTTGGAGATTTCTTTTTAAAAATATTTATTTATTTATTTTTAATTTTTTCATGTCGCCACATATTTGACCCCTTTTACTGCATCTACCCCGTCCCCACTACCCTCTGGTAACCACATATCTATGAATCTGTTTGTTTGTCCTGTTCATTTGTTGCTTTTAGGTTTATTGATCTTTGCCAGTTTTTTGTGTCACAGAGAGAATCTCTGTAAGTTGACTTTGGTGATCTCTGCGCTTCATGAACTTGGATGTCCTGCTCTCTCCCCTGATTTGGGAAGTTTTCAGCCATATTCCTTTAAGCGAGCTTTCTGCCCCTTTCTCCTTCTTCTGAACCCCCAATAATTCGCAAACCGTTTCTTCTGTTACTATTCCATAGATCACATGCTTTTTTTCTCCCTTGTCCTATTGTGTTGTTAACACTCTC